ATATTGGGGTTATATAGGGGTGATGGAAAAGAAAATGGAAGCTACTATTTAGGGTTTAGGGTTCAGGGGTTTAGGGTTTAGGGGTTTAGGATTTGGGGCTTCCCAAGAAGGCCTAAGGTTTCAGCTCGGAGGTTTAGGATGCAGGGTTTGGGGTTTAAGGATGTCTTAAGTCTAGGGTTCAGGGTTTACAGCCTTGCAAACATAGACCCTGCAGCCTGACAACTATGTGAGTCATTGTTTAAACTCCTACAATCCCTCTCAATACCCCTGTAATAGTCTCCTATATAACCCCCTATATAACCCACTTGGAGGAGTTTAGACTATAGCTCGTGTGCCTGTAAAAAGGAAACGACGAAAGTGGCGTTGCCAACCACGCCGCTGGTGCAGGCCAAAAAACATAAATGGTGTGGACCCCGCCCCTTTGCTAACCCATGAATGACTGGTGCCTATGCGGAGTGGGAGGGGTGAATATGGGTGCTATTTCTAAACCCTAAACCCTAAGCCCTAAACCCTAAACCCTAAACCGCCGGTTGCTGTTGAGGAACTTAATTTAAGTCATTCAACTGGGGAATGGGACCCAAGGCCCATGTCCGCTGACCCCACACACGAAGCCTCAAACAAACCCTAAACCTTCAACCGACTGCTGATACTAAAACCCTGCATGAGCCTGCTACGCAAAAGGTGCAAGAATTCCCAAGGTTGAGGGTACCTAGGGTCAGCAGGATTTTATGCACCGTAGTTTGGCACGAACGGAACTCAAGGCCCAGACGTTCAGGTTCGCTTCCTGCGACGCACGATTGAGCCACTTGTCCTTCAACACTTCCTCTGCCGATAGCCGCTTCCTCGACAAGAGACTTTCGCTGAGGTTTACTGTAACCCCCTTGGACCTTTAAAGCTGTGTTTAATGGTTCACCGGGGCTGTACTACAACAAAGATTGACATTCCTTAGAAGATAGGACACTCCGCATGACGCACTAGCAAATCTAGCGGATTCTTTGGGAAGGCCTCCAAAAAGTATGCAAGCCTTTGTGAAGCTGGACAAGCCTTTCAGCATCCAGACGAGGGGCACCATCATATCCACTTGAAATAACGCGATTCATGAGGGGCTTCCAAAGACCCTTGCATCACCGGGCATCAGGATCAACCTACGTGAAAATGAGCAGGTATTTCACTCAGAACACGCAAGGATTGGTTCCAGCCGCCCCTGCACCGATAGAATCAAATGGAACGTCAAATGGAAAACAAAATGGAAACTGGGGAGCGCATGTGCGCGAATATGCAGGGCTCTCTCAGCCTTTGCCATAAGCCCTGAATCCTAAACCCTACATCCTTATATGGGCCCCCCAAACTGGTACCCCTAATTTTGGGAACCCCCTACTTAAAGTTCTCACACTCGGGCCGGCACCTGGTTTGCCGATTTTGCAATCCAAGATTCTCAGCATCCGGACAAACCATTCCTGGGTCAGAGCTGGGAGCTGCAATCAAATGGAAATTTAACAAACGTAGTTTGGGGTTTTAGGGTTTAGGGGGGATTATGAAGGAGGTTTCGGGGGTCCTTATTGGGAATAAGGTAGGCATTACCTTGCTTCATTGTTTGTTTAACTTCTTGGTGCCCAAACATGCAAAGTTCAAGCATGAAGGTCCTAGAGATTGTGCTGAACCCTAAACCTTACGCCTAGAGATCGTGCTGAACCCTAAACCTTACACCCTAAAACTGTGCGGATATTTCTCAAATTCAGATCCCCCTGCATGCCTCAATAATGATATGAGCTATAGTCTAAACTCCTAGTATCTCAAAAGGAAGTTTAGATTATAGCTCAGATGGCCCCTCCTACAAGGAACCCCCCAAAAAGTACCATAAGGTAGAAAAACAATCGCGTGGCAATTTCTCAGAATAAGCCCGATGCAGCCCCTCAAAAAGACTCCCCCCATAATCCATTTCATAATTCCTACCTACCCCTGCCGTCCCTAAACACTGAACCCTAAACAGCCTTACTTAGAGAAACACCCATATGAGCCATGATCTAGACTCCTAGTGTCCCCCTTAATCACCCCTGTAGTAGTCCCTATATAATCCCTTATATAACCCATTGAAGGAGTTTAGACGACCCCTAACCCTAAACCCTATGCACTAAATTCTAAACCCTCAACACTAAACCTATAGGACCTCGTTAAGGAGTTTAGATTAACCCTAACCAAAAACTCAAAACCCCGTATAATCCCCTATATAATTTCAGGAGTTTAGATCATGGCTCATATTACAATCCCTATAGTATTTCCCTATACAACCCTCCACTTTAAGGAGCTTACACCCTAAACCCTAAACCCGATATCATCCCCTACATAACCCCTTTATGGAGTTTAGATCAAGGCTCATATTACAAGCAAGCTCAACACCAACCAAAACTCGCTGGCACAGGCTTCGGGCTTCCACCGTTGCTGGCTGGAAGGCACCACCCACAAGTCCGCCTAACCTGGCTTAGGTTTTAGGGTTTAGGGTTGGGGCGTTATGGGGTTTAGGGTTGTATAGATTTAGCGTTTAGGGCTAGGGTTAAGAGTGAACGGAATGAAGGAATGGAAGAGAAAATGGAAACTACTATTTAGGGTTTGGGGGTTAGGTGAGTTCGTCAGTGTATTTAAATGGGTCGGAGGCTCTGGAGTTTAGGGCGTAGGGCTGAAGATTCAGAGTTCAGAGCCATTTGTGAGCAAGTTCTCTGCTGCTGTCCGCTTGATGACTACACCGATCAGAACGTAGCAGCGCAGCCGTCTTGCTCCCACTAAAACAAGTCCTCCTCCTTCTTCTACTACTGCTACTACTACTACTACTACGACGACAACTGGGAATGCTGATCTGAACGTGTAACAAGCAGAACCACAGGTCCGACACAAGCAGTCCGCCATGACTCTAGCAGTACTCAGACTAGCAGTGACATCTGCAGAGTCATCAGAATGAAAGCAACAAAAAGGCTTAGGATTTGGGATTTGGTTCGTTACGAACTGTCATCATCGTGAGAAGAAGCGGAGGACGAAACCTCAAACCCTAAACCCTAAGAAGTTAAAGTGGCAACAGCACTGAAAGTCACCCTAGGTGATTTCAAATCAAGGGGCATCGAAGCGCCAAAGTCCAAAGTCCCTGCATACAGCTTGTCCATGTCCAGAACCTGCTTGGCTGCTTCTGTTCTGGTCCCTCAAAGAAGCACTCTGCCATAATACTAACCTCATCGTGATGACTTTCTAAACATTGCTACTAGAACTATAACTTAGGTGGACCAGAGCCTGCTTCGCGTTCTTCAGCTTGATGAATGGGTGGCGACCTCCCGAAACAAGCCTCAGAAAGGAAACAAGAAGAGGTTTTGGCAATAACCATCATCATTTTAGCCAGCGATTACACATCTGATGATAAGAGAAAGTGATTGCCGCAAAGATGATTGGCGACGGTCAGGGTAGCTGATACTAATACTGTTCCAGCATGATCTGGAAATACTAGGATATAATATAAGGTATTCAGAATCACCCAGGATATTTAATATCAACTGTAGCAAACGCTTTGGTGATAAGTTGCAGTCCAAGGCACATATGCAGCGTGCAGCCCGCAGCCCAAACATCCACTGAATGTCCGTAGCCTGTCATGGGGTCTAGGGGTGCGGGTATATAGAGGTTATATGGGGGGGAATATTGGGATAATGGAAAAGACAATGGAAACTACTGTAGTATATTGGGGTAATATAGGGTGTGTCAAGATCAGGGCTCCCTATGTTTTTGAGGGCTCGCATTTTGAAGGTGTCTACTCTTGGGGCAGATGCAGTGGACCAGTGTTTTGTGACGTAGCTAGCAGAGAGCGTGCCTCACATAGCCCTCTAGTTGTCGGTCTGGCTGTTTATTGGGATGTTTTCTCAACCTAGGTCTCCCCACTACACCCTCAAAATGATAAGAGATATGCACTGGAAAACCCAAACAGGGCACACACAGTTTGAGCAACCCTAAACCCTAAAACCCAAACCCCTAAACTGCCAAGGAGGAAGCCATGGCCTTTGCTTCCCTTCTTCAACAGGTGCTGCTCTGGTGCCATGTACGCCTAGGGTTTAGGAGTTAGGAGGCGGGGTTTAGGAGTTAGGGCTCAGTAATGGCCTTGGGATACTGTGACGGACTATGAGAGGGATTCTGGATTGACTGCCAGACGGAGCCTTTCCCACATCCCCCATTAAGCGTAACCCAGACGCTGGTGTCCCCACATCCTCCGTGGTTTTCTCGCCCTTGGCCAGGAAGGTGGCGAAGCCAAAATCAGAAAGCTTCAATAAACCAGAGGCGATCATGAAGTTGCCTGGGTTGCTGCTGAGGACCTTGAATTAAGGTACTACCATAGGAAGGCATGTACCTAACATGTATCCATAGGCAACTTAAATCTTAAACCTTAACCCTAAAACCTTAAACCCCAAAACCCTAAAACCTGAAACCCAAAAACCCTAAACCCAAAAACCCTAAACCCTAAAAACCTAAACCCTAAAAACCTAAACCCTTAGAAGCAACCCAGTTTCCTGGCTTGATGTCGCGATGGCCTCGGCTCAACCCGCCACCAGGCAAACGAGGCAAACGGATGAGGAGTTTAGGGTTTACAGTCCCCCTTAAGTAGATAGAATATGGGGTATATGGGGATCTTATTATAATATACCCAAGGCCATATTCTATCTACTTAAGGGGGACTATAGGGTTTAGGGGCACCTCGTTGCCTGTTGCGACCCTGCTTTGGACATTACTCTACGTAGAAGCCCAAAGGGTTACATGGAGTTGTATAGCTTATATAAGGGCATACAGGGATTATGTAGGGGTATGTTGGGGAATGGAAAAGAGAATGGAAACTACTGGCAGTACAGGTGGTAGTCTACACGCGGGTAGTCTCCTGTATTCCTCCCATCCGACTCCTGCAAGACATTGGACATTCCTCTTTCGTGTGTTCTTTACAAGGCTTCCCTGATCCTAAGTAATTTGAAAACGATTTTGGGGAGGTCAATTATGTAAAGGCTTTTTGGCTGGGTTAATGGTGAGGCCATTCTAACTTTGTGTTGTGTTAATTCATTTTCTAATTGACTTGATTGATTGCAAACAGATTTCGAATGAATTGGATTATATTGTGATTGACTTTAATAGGTTTTCAAGGCCAGGCCTTCTAACATAAAGACCGAGCTCCATTGCCGATGACTCTGGCCTTCCTATTTCCTTCAAAGGCCAAAGCCGGAGGAGCTACCTTCAATTGTTGATTGCAATAGAAACCATATGATCCTACAGACCCCCTCATTCGTCAACAGGGCTTTGCATCATAAAGGCCCCCTTTTCAATCAGAAAACAACATTAAATGTAGACACACGTCTGTATCCTGGCTCTCCCACAATACCCCCGAGATATGACTTTGTGCTCAAATCTGCATATGTATGCATATGTTCTCACACTTATTGAAAATTCACCACGTACATCCCTCGAAATCCCGGCGCGGACAATCTCCGCCCCAAAAAGGGATGTGGCCTGGTGCTCCGAGTAGCAGATTTCTTTGGAGTGCAGATGGGCGATCGCTGCACAAATCTGCCTCAGCTCAAATGAGGGGCGTTACAGTGGTGTTCATGACAGGCGAGGTGGTGTAGGATAGTAGTAGTAGTAGTAGTCGTCGTCGTCGTCCTCGTCGTAGTCGTTGTGGTGTTCGTCGTCGTGTTCGTCGTCGTCTTCGTCGTCGTCGTCGTCGTCCTCGT